TTATTGTTTCCACTTTCAGTCGTCTCTACCTAACATCAAGCATAACAATGAAAGACGCAGAGTTCTGAAATCGACAGCCTTTTTGTTCAAAAATGGAATAGTTCGTTCCAGGTATGAAGCTTGTAGTAGGACGGATTTTATGATTCAAACCTCATATAATTTAGGCCTTTTTTTCTAAATTGGAGAATATTTTGATTAAAACTTCATATAAATTAGGTGGTTTTACAAAATTTGAAGAATTTTCTGATTAGAACTTTGTACCTTCTATAAGAAAAACTTAGACATCTTTGTGCTATCAATTGCACTCCATCTGTTCGATTAAATGCTTGTCAAAGGATGATCATCAGCTCATTAATTTACCATCCTTGATAGTACGTCACTCGCCAAGGCTTCAGTTGTTTCCACTTTATTTGAGGTTTTTATTAAATTAAGGAGAAAGGAGAATACAAACATCAGGTAACTTTCTGTATACGGCTAAAATTTCTACTATATTTTGTTATATGGATACTCTACCTGGTGCTAATCTGTTTATTTATCACACCCCTCTAGAATTTGATGATGAGGAGATTGCAATGCGTTTCAATCATTTGGAAGGAGTTTTTAGTTCTAAGGTTTTTGTGGGAAAGCTAACCGGTGTTACAAAGTGTTTCGGTACTCTCGATTTCTCTTATATACCCTTGAATTAGAGCAATCCTTTTGCACAAATATGTATTACAAATGCTTGTAAATCATTTGAAATGGACTTTTAGCTAAATGACTAAGATGCCCTTCACCATGATGTGATGTTTGTGCAGAATGTCCAAGATCCTGTTTTGTGGGGAGGGTATGAAGTGGAGAAAATGATTGTGGAAGAATACGCACCCCTTGCATTTTTTTTCACCAGGTGCACTTCTTGGGTTTGTGTTCAATTTTTTGTAGCTATTGATCATGTTTTAACGTGTAAATTAAACAATTATACCTAAATGCATACATGAAGTGTTATAGTTAACAGTATCCAATGTAATTAGCACAAATAAAAGTGTTTGTTTATGGAATAAATCATCAGAATCAACAATTTACAAGTATCACAAAGGAAATTGGAAGTTAATGTCTTAATGAAGTTTTCATGTATGGAGGGCAGGGATTAAGGGATTAAGGGATAAATGTGTCTATATCGGTGTCAGGTAGTATCAAGAACTAACAAACTTTGCAAGAAATAGCAATATAACACAGTGTAATCCTTTTCTTAATAACTTCAAAGTTGGTTATTGTGAATAGTAACAAACTCTAAAATAGATGCTCTTATACATACCGAACAAATAATATAATTTACTCCAACTTTGAAATTGAATGTTCATAAATATCAATGATTTTCATGCATGATATTCGGTTTAAAGTGTCAATAAGTCTATGTTTTTGTACTGCTCACTAATAAACATGGATTGATCTATTTCAGTTTTAGATGATTCTGGTTTCTAATCACTAATAAACATGGTTTCCATGATATTCTAAGTCTTATTAGTTTAAATACAAATCCATATATGATTATTGATGAAATCTTGAAAGATTAATATTATATTAGTCTCTTTTCTCCTGATTTTCTGCTTAATCCAATAGCTCTGTTTTTTTTTAATCAGGGTAATTGGGTCATAATTCATAACCCATATGATAATATGAAACTGATTATTTTTAAAATAGTGTGCAGATAAGTGATTTTCCTTAGTTTGTTAGATTGTCTAGAGCTTGATTGGATTTGGCCTTTTGTTACGAGCATTCATTTCTTCCACTTGTATATATATGCTTTATGATTTTGAGTGAATTGACAGTAAGATAAGTATTTAATTAAAAACAGGATAATCAGACCTTTTTTTTCTTTTCTTATACGAAGTTCTTGAATGTTTATTTCTTTTCTCCAAGTGTAAGAATGGGTAAGACAAGGAGTATGCTTAGAAAAAAGAAGTATGATGATGCATGTAGAAAAGAGAAGTATGATGATGCATGTACAGAAA